ATATATCTCTGTATTTTCACTATTTTCTGACTCATCCTTGAATTTCTTCTCGTGATGGTATCAACAGCCCAGATACTAGCTGGGGGTGAGATCCCACCAGCGTTTGGGAACCTCTCCCAGCCCTCTGGTTATTGCTCCCTTGCAATCACTGTGGAATGATGCTAAATGCTGTACATTCACTATTTTATTTAACCTCAAAACAACTCCCAGAGGGTTGATACTGTCACAGATCAGTGACTATCGGGGCTGGTGGTATGGGCAGTAAGAAGAATTTACCAAGTCAGTTGTAGGTAAAGAAAGGCAGATTTATTAGAGAAAGTATGAAAATACGTTGCAAGAAAGCAATGAGCAAGTTAGCAAGAGAGGAGCTGACTACAAGGAGATAAAGGCTTGCTGGAGACTTTATAGGATGGTGCTTGTGCTGTGTGCTGAACAGGGCTGTGCAGTGCTGATAACACCAATGTTGCAGTGAGCTAACCTGCAGGTGTCTGGTGACAGTTGGGTGCAGCAAGATTGTGAGTTATCTGCACAGGAGGACTATGTGTCCTGGACCATGAAGAAAGGCAGACTCATAGCTTACCTGCTTTTTCTTTTTGCTTTCCCCTGATCCCACCAGCCTGACTCCTTTTCCCTAATTAGGGCTCTACAGATACCCTTTTTTACAAGCTACCCCTTTTTACAAGTTAGAAAACTGAGGTTCAGAGAGGTTAACTCAGCAATTTCCAAGGTTGGCTGACCATCAGAATAACTGGGGAGCTCTTCAAATGCACATTCCGGCCGGGCGCGGTGGCTCACGCCTGTAATCCCAGCACTTTGGGAGGCCTAGGCGGGAGGATCACGAGGTCAGGAGATCGAGAACATCCTGGCTAACACGGTGAAACCCCATCTCTACTAAAAATACAAAAAATTAGCTGGGCGTGGTGGCAGGTGCCTGTAGTCCCAGCTACTTGGGAGGCTGAGGCAGGAGAATTGGCGTGAACCCGGGAGGCGGAGCTTGCAGTGAGCTGAGATCTTGCCACTGCACTCCAGCCTGGGTGACTGAGCGAGACTCGGTCTCGGGGAAAAAAAAAAAAAAAAAAAAAAAGCACATTCCTAGGTCCCACCTGCAGACCAACAGAACCAGACCTTAGTTCTGTAGGCTCCAAGGTCACACACCTCTCCAGTGGGAAGACAGGGCTGGGACTGGGATGAGACAGGTGAGGCCCTCGCTGTCGGGTGCCCGTCTGTCTGTGTGACCCAGAGAGCACGGGCCTCCTTCCAGTCTGCACCCTTGGTCTCACCCAAGACCTGCCCAAAGCGAAGCCAGTATTGGGATTACAGATCTGTCTGCAGAAAGTCCACACCCTTAGCCACAAAACTATTATTATTAATACTACAGCCCCAGGATGCCTTAGGGCAGAGATTCTCAAACTGCAGCCTGCATCCAAATCACCTGGAGTGCTTGTTAAAACGCAGGGCGGTGGGCCCCACCCCGTTTCTGAGTCAGCAGGTCTGGTTGGGGATGAGCATTTACCTTTCTAACAAGATCCCAGGTGGAGCAGATTCTGCAGGCCCGGTACCACACTTGAAGTGCCACACTTGGAGATTCACCGCCTGAAGGTGGAAGGAGCTGGCACCTCAAGCAACAGCTCCCTTCTCTAGCTTTCTTCCGTTAGAGTCTAGGATGAAATGCTCTGGGCAGCTGGATTGCCTGACCCTGCAACCCTGAGACACTCCAAGTCGTAGTAAATTCCCTCATTGCTCACCTGCACCCAGGCATCTTGATGCAGGTATTCTACGCTGCTCCCCGTTCCAATAAGGAAGGAGTATCCTAGGAAAGGGTCTAAGATTTTCCAGCAGGGAGGGGTCAGGCCTTAGCAAGGTCATCACTGATAGGGTCTCTGGCTTCTGATCCCTCTGTTGGCCGCACCATCTGCATGGGGGCTTCTGGGATGGTGTTGTTGAGTTCATGTTGGTCTTTGTGCTTTTTGTAGCCCCACATTTACACAGCTGTCTGGGGAAAGGAGAACCTGGTCTAAAAGTTGCTAGGGGTGCTCCCTCCGTGAGTGATCATCCTGAGAGCAGTTGCAGACATTTGCGTTAATTAGTTAATTTAATTTTATGTGCACCTAGTTAGTGCTCTAAAAGATAATCTACAAACTAATGGCAGCTCACATGCAAATGAGTGAAATTCACAGCCCCCACACTTCATGGTTTTGGTTTTCGTTTTTAAACAGCCCTACAGCCCATGGGCCAGCACTGGGTATTTCCTTGTAATCCTCAAAGAAGTATTTCTGATTCATTGAGCGCCTAATTGCACAGCTCATAAGGGAAGTTCCTTCTAAAATGAAAACCCAGCATCCCGCGGGCATCGGCCCTCACTCATTTCCGCCCGTTACCAATTGCAGACTCACTCAGCTGCCAGAACCACTCTCCTCAGCACCCTGATTTACCCACCTGTCTGACCCCTGACCCCTGACCCCTGCCCCTTCTCCCAATGTTCCTATTTAAATCTGGGCCCACTACGGTGGGGGAAAGTGCTCTAAAGTGGGTGTCAGGACATGTGGTTTCACCTGCTAACCAGCTGCATGCATTTGGCAAAGTTACCTTTCCTCTCTCAGGCTTCAGTTTTCTCATCCAAATACCTATGAGGGTAACAGGAGGGTGGTTTCTCCTCAGCAAATGGGAGGCCCTCTGGGAAGAGGAATCAGGACAGGAAATGAGACAGCCCTTGGGACAGGAGAGGAAGGACCTGCTCTGGGGCTTTGGGAATTGGACTTGGAAGTGCTGGGAGGGCAGGAAGCAGCTCTGGACTGGGGTGAGCTGGTCCTGGTTAGTTAGAAGGGAGACTTGTGGCATCACTGAGTCGCCATTTTAGTTTTTGCTGGCAACTGTGGTGAGGGACAGCCTCTCACTTCAAGGCGATGCCAACAGTTCTTGGAGCTCCTTCTCCTGAATCATGGGGAGAGTTCTTGGAGCTCCTTCTCCTGAATCATGGGGAGAGTTCTTGGAGCTCCTTCTCCTGAATCATGGGGAGAGTTCTTGGAGCTCCTTCTCCTGAATCATGGCGAGAACTGGCCCAAGCTGGCCGGAGCCTGGCTTGTGACCCACAGTGTGTGCATGAGTTCAAGGAGCTCAGTCTCCAAAACTCTGTGGCCACGGAGCCCAGGCTAAATCTAGGCTAAATATAACCGTGCAGAGGAGTCCTTGTACCCGTTTTGAGCCCCAAGAAACCACTGTGGCATGAGAGGCAGGCCTCAGTAGCCTGGAAGCTTCCTGCAGAGACAAGGTCCCTGCCCTCAAGACAGTTCCCAAGTGGCCATGGTCCACTATTGGCCAACCGCTTGTTGGCCGCAGCCATGACAAAGAGTGGCCTTTTAGGCCTCTTTGTTTCTTCTCAGGGAGGTGAAGTAACCATGACTAGGAAGCACCCGGGGTCCCTAGACTGGCGATGGGAGGAGTTCCAGGGAGGATTTTTTTTTTAATAGAGACCACTCCTTGTAAAAAGGACATTTTAAATAATTAGTGTGTTGGGAACATGGAGCCACTTCTCTAGACCTTAAAACATAATTTGTTATTTTCATTCACGTGGGTAAAGCAAGACATTTGGTTATTTAAGAGAGCTAGCCTATGATCTTATGGAACCACCATCAACAACATCCCATGATTCTGTGAGATGTCCCAGATCCCTTACTCAACTGAACAATAGCCAACGCTATTTACCCAGCACATACCTACCAGGCACACTTGACATGCATTATTGTCATTACTGTATCTAATATAACAGTTCTTTCTTTTTTCTTTTTCTTTTTTTTTTTTTAAGACAGGGTCTTGCTCTGTCACCCAGGCTGGAGTGCAGTGACACAATTCTAGCACACTGCAACCTCCACTTCCCGGGTTCAAGTGATTCTCCTGCCTCAGCCTCCAGAGTAGCTGGGACTACAGGCATGCACCACCACACTCAGCTAATTTTTTGTATTTTTAGTAGAGATAGGGTTTCACCGTATTGGCCAGGCTGGTCTCAAACTCCTGACCTCAAGTGATCCGCCTGCCTCGGCTTCCCAAAGTGCTGGGATTACAAGTGTGAGTCACCGCACCTGGCCAATTGTATCTAATATAATATATCTGCAAAGCAGGTGCTATCTACACTTTGCCCTGAAGAATCTGAGGCTCAGCAAAGGTAAGTAACTGACAAGTCATGTAACTTGTAAGAGGTGGAGCCAGGAGTCCAACCAGGCCTGAATGTGACTTCAGAATCCCCTGATTCGCAGCCTAGAGCCTCACTCCTGTCTACTCTTCCAGGACCAGCCCCATCTGGAGGTCCCTAACTCTGGTGCCAGTCAGGAGCTCACCTTTGTGCATAGTGCAGAGGGACCCTCCCTTCAGTGTGAGGACAGGGCACTGGCAGGCAGTCGACTCGTGCCTGGGACACTGCTGGGGGAGGGCTGGAGTAAAACACTGGTCCATCCAGGTAGAACCAAAACAAGGTAGGATGTTTTAAAAGTCCTTTTACATTGCTGGGCATGGTGGCTCACATCTGTAATCCCAGCGCTTTGGGAGGCCGAAGGAAGAGGACTGCTTGAATTCAAGACCAGCCTGGGCAATATAGTGAAATCCCACCTCTACAAAAAAATAGACAAAACTAGCCAGGTGTGGTGGTGCATGCCTGTAGTCCCAGCTACTCGGGAAGCTGAGGCGGAAGGATGACTTGAGCCCAGGAGGTGGAGGCTGCAGTGAGCTATGATCCTGCTACCACACCCTAGCCTGGGTGACAGAGTGAGACCCTGTCTCAAAAAAAGAGAGAGAAAAAAAGGCCTTTTCATATTCCAATTCTATTGAAATACAATACCTACAACATGGTGAAACAATTTGAAATATGTTCAAATGGTTTAAAAAAGATGCTGCCCAGCAAGAGGGGAAAATGGACAAGCGAAGCACCAGTGTTTGTACAGGAACGCTAAAAAAAAGGAAAGAAGAGTTTAAAAAATAAAACCTTTTTTTTTTTTTTTCTAAAGTGGGGCAGAAAAATCTCAAAATGTGATTGGGAGATTGAAGAAAAGAAAAAGGCCCGTCCTTCCTCCCAAGCTGGAGAGGCTGAAGGGTGCCTGGGTAGACGGTGAGTCTGAGATTCTCTCCAGAACCAGGAATGCCTGCCTATGCCCCCTAGAAGGGTGTATTCAAATCTCCTGGAGGCCATTCACTGTCCACCAACATCCCACTCTCTAAATTCCTTGCCTCAAATTCTGATACGCTTTCCCAGTTGAAGGTCCTCCTATAGCTTTGATTACTGCTAGGAGTGTGCTAGTGCAGAGGGCAGAGGCAGCAAAAAATGGGCAGAAAATCAGGGAGAATTGCCCAAGTGTGAGTGACTTAGAAAAAGAGATTTTCCCCTGAGGAATTACATTGATGAAATCTAGGCTTGAAAGGTCCAAGTTCAAAGGTCTGCTTACTTTATTATCGTTTTACCCAGAGGAATGTGCCTGTTAGGTTAATATTTATTTTATTGAATAATCTAGTTTTAGTTACTGTCAATAAAAGTCAGTGCTACTTTTTGTAGGAAAAAAAAGGCAGTTTATTGGCTAATTTCAGATCTCAGACAGGTTGTTCCTGGGCCCGTTGGCTCTACCGCCACCTGGTGGTAGATTCCTGTAGAGCAGGGTTGGCCATTTGGGTTCCGAGCCAGAACCCAAGTCTGAAAAGTTGGAATCCTGATCTGCTCACCCAGGAGCAGGGTGACCAGTTGGACAGACTTCCTCTCTCCCTGAATTTCAATTCCCATATCTTAAAATAGAGACCATAATGTCTACTTTTGGGGTTTGTCGTAACAATCAAATGAGTTAACATATATATAGTGCCTAATGCACGGTAAATGTTTAATAAACTATTAACTATTAACCTCATTGAAAAAGAACTTGATATCCCCATAGGCTTGTTTCCAGTGTTTTGCCATGGAGTTCTGTTCTCACCATTTCCATAACTGACTGGAGCAAAGCTACAGAAGACACGGCCCCTGCATCATGGCTGACACTCTTGCTGATCAGAGGCTGGGAGAGACTGACAGTTTGGAGGGACGGGCCCAATCTAACGGATGAAATTTTAAGAGGAATAATGCAAGTTCCAAATGACACATAATGTCTGCCAAGTGCACACATATTGGGTGAGGGACCAAAAAAAAAAAAAAAAAAAGACCACATCAAAAACACTGAGGGATTTTGGGAACAGATAGCTCAACAGGAGCCAACTGGGTGACACAGGCACCAAAAATTCTAATTGCATCAACAGCCATGAAGGAACAACATATAAGAAAAGTCTTGCCGGGTGCGGTGGCTCAAGCCTGTAATCCCAGCACTTTGGGAGGCCGAGACGGGTGGATCACGAGGTCAGGAGATCGAGACCATCCTGGCTAGCACGGTGAAATCCCGCCTCTACTAAAAAATACAAAAAACTAGCCGGGCGAGGTGGCGGGCGCCTGTAGTCCCAGCTACTCAGGAGGCTGAGGCAGGAGAATGGCGTGAACCCGGGAGGCGGAGCTTGCAGTGAGCTGAGATCTGGCCACTGCACTCCAGCCTGGGAGACACAGCGAGACTCTGTCTCAAAAAAAAAAAGAAAAGTCTTTAAAATGTTCATACACCCTAACCTTGTAATTCCACTACAAGGAATCTACCCAGAGGAGGAAATCATCAGAAACAATTGCATACAAAGATGCTCACTTCAGTGTGGTTTATAAAAATTAAAAATTAGAAAAAATAAATGTCCAATAATAGACAAAAAGTTAAATTGTGGTTTATCCAAGCAGTCCTTTAAATTTTTCAAAGGAAAATGTACATGAAATAAGTTCAGGGGGGTGGTGAGAATTGGGCTCTCTTTAGAAATAGAGGAAACATTGATAAAAGGCACAATTAGATAAGATATAACAAAAGCCTATATGCATCTAATAAGATAGCTTCAAAATTTATAATGCAAAAATTGACAACACTAAAAGGAGAAATGGACAGGTCCAACTTTAGGAGACTTTAATATACCTCTCCCAGTAATTTATAGATCAAGTCAACAATAACAACAACAAAAAAAGTCAGGAGACTGATTTGAGTAATAACTCCGTTTACTGCACTACCTCAGTCTCAGTGAATTGATTTTGTCTGTGCACTTATCAGGCAATTGCAATAATTTGTTAGAATGACTCACAAACCCAGGGAATACTTACTTATTATTCCTGATTTATTACAAAGGAAAATTTAAAGGATACCAATAAACAGCCAGATGGAAGAGATGTGAGAAATAAAAATAAAATCCTAAGTACCTCCAACAACAACGATGACAAAAAATCAGTAAGAAAAAAAGAGGGTGGGCATGGTGGCTCATGCCTGTAATCCCAGCACTTTGGGAGGCTGAGATGGGTGGATCACCTGAGGTCAAGAGTTCGAGACCAGCCTGGCCAACATGGAGAAACCCCATCTCTACTAAAAATACAAAAATTAGCTGGAGGTGATAGCGGGCACCTGTAATCCCAGCTACTCAGGAGGATGAGGCAAGAGAATCGCTTGAACCCTGGAGGCGGAGGTTGCAGTTAGCTGAGATTGCGCTACTGTACTCCAGCCTGGGCAACAGAGTGAGACTCAGTCTCAAAAAATAAAATTTAAAAAAGATTTGAACAACAGAATTTAGAAGTTTAACATGAGGGCCCTGCATAGTACACTGCACCCTACAGCTGGAGAATACATGTTCTTTTCAAACACATCTGGGATGTCTGGGCACAGTGGCTCAGACCTGTAATCCCAGCACTTTGTGAGGCTGAGGTGGGCAGATTGAGCCCAGGAGTTCCATACCAGCCTGAGCAACATAGGGAGACCTCCATCTCTACAAAAAATTAAAATATGAACCAGGTGTGGTGGTGTGAGCCTGTAGTCCTAGCTACGAAGGAGGCTGGGCTAAGGTGGGAGGATCACTTGAACCTGGGAGGTCGAGGCTATAGAGAGCCAAGATCACACCACTGCACTCCAGACTGGGCGACTGAGCAAGACCCTGTCTCTAAAACAACAAAAACACATATAGGAGATTTACAAAACTTAACTACACACACACACACACACACACACACACACACACAAACACACACACACATAAACGCAAACCAACTATTTCAGTATATGGGGCTAAATTCTAAGGGGAAGTACAGGGAGTTCTGGGAGTCCGAGGCTCTTTGATCAGAGGCTCAGGGAAGATCTCCCAGAGAGGGTTATGACTGGGCTGAGTTTGTGAAGAAAAGTTATCCGGGTAAAGGAGGTGGGGCTGGAGGCTGAGCGATCTCAGGCAGGGCAGACAGCAGCCTGAGGACCCCTAGGCAAACAGAAGTGAGTTTAGGGAACTGCAGATCCCTTCCCAGAATTCACCTCTTGCTTCCAGGCGGGGACCCTGACATGCATCTGCAGGGGCCCCACTAAAAGCTATCGGTCAGTTTCCGTCTCTAACAGGAGATGGAGGTCTTCAGTGACCACCCCGCCGGGGCATGTCCCCCAGGAAGGAACATGAGCTGGGCCCGAAAAGGAGCTGCTCAGAGCTCCAGTGTCAGGCAGGCTTGGGGAGCTCCCTGCAGGTGGGCAGGATGCAGGACTCCTGAGGCCCCACCACCTCCTAAGGAAGCCCCTTCCCCATCCTCCGCTACTCCTAAAAAGCCTGGAGGGCCTCCCTGTGGACTGGCTCAAGCAACAGGGATTCCCAGCCCTGGCCCCGCCCACACTTACATAGTTTCTCTGGGGCTCAGGCCATCTGTTAACACAGCTATCACTGGCTTCCTGCTCACCATGGCAAGGTGTCACACACGTGAGCTCAGGTCTAGGAAAGAACTCTAGAGGGGTTTGCAACACTACCTGTCCAAAGTCCCTGAGTAAGTGAAATGCAGTGTTTAGCCCAAACCATCATTTTAGCTAAGTGCCTTCCTGTGTCCTCCCCAAGAACCACTCTCAGTGTATCCTCTCACCTGGTGTGGGGTCTCATTTTACCCTCTTTTCGAACCTCCTTCCTGACTACTGAGCAGACAGGGAGATGTGAGAGCCAGGGAGACTTGGGCAAGCCACACAGGCCCATTAGCTCAGCAGCTGTGGAGAGAGAAGCCGTAAAGGAGTCCTGTCTGGAAATCAGAAACCTGAACGGACTGGCTGTGTGGCCAGGAGCAAGTCACTTCCCCTCTCTGCTCCTCAGTTTCTTCCTTTTAAAATAACGGGAAATCATCTCTAAGCTTATTTCTAGCTGAAGATTCTGGGATCTTATTTAAAGAATTGGGTCTATTTCAAAAGTCAACTTAGTTTATTTTGAGGTGGGGGACAGGGTCTCCCTATGTTGCCCTGGTTGGTCTCAAACTCCTGGGCTCGAGGTGTCCTCTGCCTCAGCCAGCTTCGGGGAATTCTTAATTGGAGGATATTGTTCCTTTTGTTGCTTTTCTGGGGCTGTTGCAAGGTGGAAAGAAACAGAGGTGGGCATCCCTGTGCCGCTGCTGAGCCATGACTAGGAATTCGACTTCGCAAAGGAGCTGTGTGCAGTGGCTCACACCTGTAGTCCCAGCACTTTGGGAGGCTGAGGCAGGAGGATAGCTTGAGCCCAGGAGTTCAAGACCAGCCTGGGCAATGTGGCAAGACCCTGTATCTACTAAAAATAAAAAAAATTACCTGGGTTTGGTGGCACGTGCCTGTAGTCCCAGCTCCTAGGGAGGCTGAGGTGGGAGGATTGCCTGAGCCCGGGAGGCAGAGGCTGCGGTGAGCCAAAATTGCACTGCTGTACTCCAGCCTGGTGACAGACGGAGACCCTGTCTCAAAAAACAACCAACCAACCAACCCGAAACACCCAAATGATGATGCAGTGAGTATCTCAGTGCTCGAATGACAGCATATCTGTAGGTTACAGTTGATGGGAATTCTTTAAAATAAAGTTTCATATCTTATTTTAGGGTAAGTAATCTCCCAAATAGCTGAGACTACAGGAGTGTACCACCCAGCCTGGCTAATTGTTTAAAATTTTTTAGAGAGATAGTGTCTTACTATGTTGCCCAGACTGGTCACAAACTCCTGGGCTCAAGCAATCCTCCTGCCTTAGCCTCCCAAAGTGCTGGAATTATAGGCACAAGCCACCATACCTGGTCATCATCTGCGATAGCCCCAAACTGGAAATCACTGTCATTTCCATTACTACAAGGCAAATGAAATGAATTATGGTCTGCCAAAAAGAGACTGGGGTATCTGTACTGACATGGGCTGATCTTCAAGATATGTGAAGTGTGTACTGTATTCCCCCATTTGTGTGTGCTATTGGGGAAGGTGTACATGTATGTATACGATAGGTAATTTCTGGAAGGATGCACAGGAAACCGATAACAGTGGTTTCCTCTGGGGAGAAAACAGGAGGCTGAGGGGCAGGGAATGAGCAGAAAGACACAACTTTTCACTTCCAGGCCTTTAGCACCATTTGAATTTTTGTTTTTCCATCTCCATATATTAACTTGAAAATTTTTCTTTGAGTAATAAAGCGATTATAGCAATTGACTTTAAATGTAAAAACCACTTTGCATTCTGAGATAAACTCTATTTGGTCATAATGCATATTGCTGGATTAAGTAGCTAATAGTTCAGTGATTTTGCATCTATGTTCATGATGTATTTAGGTAGTCACGTTCTTTTCTTGAAATGTCTTTGGCCAGTTTTGGTATTGTAGCAATACTGTCCTCATAAAAAGAGGTGGGAGGCAAGTGTTCCCTTTTTCTTTAATTTTCTGAAAGTTTGCATAGAATTGGAGCTTCTTCTTTCTTAAATGTTTGATAGAACTCACAAATAAAGCAATCTGGACCCAAAGTTTTCTTTGGAGATTTTTTTTTTTTCTTTTTTTGAGATGGGGTCTCACGTTGTTACCCAGGCTGAACTCAAACTCGTTGTTACCCAGGCTGAACTCAAACTCCTGGGCTCAAGTGATCCTCCTGTCTTAGCCTCTCAAGTAGCTGGGCCTGTAGAAAGATTTTTTTTTCTTTTAATAACACATTTCTTTGATATAGGGCTACTCAGGTTTTCTGTTTCATCTTGTGTACATTTTAGTAAGTTCTATTTCTCAAGGAATGTGTTGATTTCATCTATTGGTTTAAAGTTGTTCATAATATTTCCTTATTGTCCTTTTTTGTTTTGTTTT